GGGCTGGGGGGGGGGCAGCTGGGCACCCCAGGGTCGGGGGAGCGTGGTTTGCGGGTCTCTCCCACTGGCGGCCGGTCTTCGGTTTCCGTCCATCATTGTATTCCAAGGGTGGCTATACTACCTGAGATTTGTGCATGTTACATTGTAGTTGTAACCTTTTCTAATTCGGCAAGAATAAGAGATGGTTGTGATTGTGCAGTGTATCAATAAAGTTTGACGAACTTTGTACCTTCGGGGCTTTGCTTTGTGGACCCCGCGCGCCCCGGGAAGGGATGCGGCGCCCGACACTTAGTCGAAGCTGCTTTTGATCGTTCCCTGCGACACTTTGAGCCCCCCCTCGATGGGGGGGGGAGCTGCTGGCGTTTGGCCCATCCCTCGCAGGTCCACCGATGGGTCCCGGGTCCCACCCGCCACCGTCCCCCGGCCGCCGATGGGCACGTACCTGTCAACGGAGCTCCTGCGGGGTAAGGACTGGCTTTGCTCTCATCGCTCACCTACGTTCGTCGGAAGCGGCGCGATCGGGAGCCTCCTTCCAGCGACAGAGCCATTCCCTGCATCTTCTCCAACACCTCGTAACGACGCCCGCTCCGACAACTCAACTTACCCCTGCGCGAGGGACGCCTCTGCCGATGACGCCCTCCTAAGGGAGCTTCGCTCCTATCGCAATCCGACGGTGCGCGACAAGGGCAAACCATCGTCGTCAAAGGCCAAAGACGGCGAGGCCCGAGAGCGAAAAGAGCCGCGACCCTCGGCATCTCCCCAGGACAGCTACCGCTCCACCCTGAAAACACACGGCTTGGGGGGCAGGCCGTGTTCCCCACTCCCCAGGGGATGCCCCATCTTTCTGCTCCATCAACCAGGACGAAACGTTCAACAAGCTCCCCTCCTACCGTGGGACCCGCGCCTTGCAGCTCAGACACAACCCAGATGCTGGGCATCGCCTGATCGCCTGTGGGTGCCCGGTCTCCTTGTCGCCGTGTGCCGCCGATGGAACTGCTGAGCGGATGATGGTCCCCGTTTCCCTAGGGAAATCCCAAGGCCGGCGTTCCTCGGCCATATGTCCCAGAACGGTAAGGCTGCCGGGGGCACCCGGGAAGACTGCGGGGAAGCAGTGGGGGCTGCCGGACTAGTCCGGACCCAACAGAGTCTCCCTTTGCCTTCCCTGATGTGCGAGTGAAAAGCCCGGTCCCGAGAGGTTTATCCCCGAACCCCACGACAAACCGCCCTGCCACCGGCGGCGGGCACTTGTGCGCAGCACACGGCAAAGCCGATGGCTCCGTCCCCGCACCGCTACAAGCTGCTGCAACTTCGTGTGCCACGGAGGCCTCTGCTGTCCCCCTCGAGGACCCCGGCAGAAAGGTAAGTACTTCCAAAACCCAGCAGCCTCCCCAGAAGGGGGTCCAGGAGGGGAGACCGTCTCTGCTTTGAGCCGCTCACTCTCCCCACCCCCCCCCAAAAAACCAAACCCCAAACCCCATCGGGAAGCCGGGACTCATGCGATACAACTACAGGCACTGGTAAGTGACTCTCACTTCATCCACCCTGTGCATCCCGCCACTGTCCGGTCCTCGCTAACGCTTCCCATCTTGCCGTGCCGGTTCCACTTGGCATCTGGCGATGGACCCACCTCTGCTCGAGAGAAACACCTACATACGCCTCGTCCACATCATCCCTTTTCATATCATCGCCGAGCGCCAGGGAGGCAACAAGGCCCATTCCCACCATGAGCCTGGCCACGGGGTGCCTGCTGGCTCCCTTACTGGTGGGGGGAGGATTGCCTCCACAGCCCTGCTGATGCCTGACCCATGTCCAAGGACGACAACTTTGGCCACTACATCCAGAAAGCGGGAGGGCGTGTTTCAGGCCATGATCTCTGTCCCTCCTTGCCGCCAAGAGACACCCGTATGTACGTAAATAAATTAAAAGACATAAATGCATCCATCGAGCAGCCCTGCTCTCAGCCCTCAAACCCTGGCGTCAGATGCTCCATGACCTCTCACCTAGAGCACCAAAAAATTTTCCAACAGAGAGAGGGTGAGGGCAACAGCCCCCCCCCCTTAACTTCCATACCCATCCTCAGTTGCTGGGTCAGGTCCCTCCCTGAGCCCTCCTGAGCATCGCCTCTCCTGCCAGGCTCGCTCTACCGCAGCCAGCTGGCCCAGCCCAGGACTCCCGAGACCCACGCAAAGACCTCCACGCTCTTTTCCCCAGGAGAGGCAGAGCTACACCTGCCGCCAAAGATGAAACCATCCACAACGCTTTCGCCGGTAAACCGTGGCTGCCAGAAGGGCTGGCTCCAGCGTACCCCCCCCAGCCGCCGCCTCCCATGCCGTCCCAACCCGGACCCTTGCCCAGCAGTCCCGTCCCTCGCATGGGATGTGCCATGAAGCCTTGGAGCTCACCTCTTCCCTTGCCCCATGTCGCTTGGCCGCTGCGTCTCACACCGCCAGCAACTCCTTACCGTCCATGGTGCGCTCTCCCTGTTCTCCATGCTTGTCACTCGGTTGATGCAAACTCATCGTAGGGTCAAGAAATTAAAAAAAAAAACCGCCCTGCAAAACAGTCCCGCCATCGCTAACCATCAGCTTCCGATCCTACAAAAACGTGCCGGTGGCTCAAAGAAGCTGGTGCCCCGGAGGCCACGGTCAAGGCCGAGGAATATATCTGCTAAAAGTAAGCTGCTGCACACCAGCAAAGAAATCAAGATGCCAGCCGAGACGAGACCGACGCGGCCCACCTACGCCCAAACTCCAGCCCGCCTTCCTATGCCCCTCGCATCGCTGCGTCTCTCCTTCCCGCGGGACTCACCGTGAGCATCCCCGTTGCCGGGGCGGAGGGCTACATGGAAAACCTTTGGGATCCCGGGCAGGATCCTGCGTGGGGGGGAATAGGGTGGAGTGGCACCCCAACACCCTCCCAATCTACTCACCAAAGCCTTACCTGCATCCCCGTCGGGCTTGCCAGCGAGGTCTGGGCGCCATCCCGCCAACGTCATCCCGGCCCGTTAAGAACAATTTGGTGTTCCCACCCGGAGTACCCCCCTCCCTCAGTGTCCCTCCCGGTCCCCGGCGGCGCGGGGGGAAGAGTGCGGGGTGGCCCCGGCGGCAATGAGCACCACAACCAGACGGAGCGGCCACATGGAACAATCGTTTTAATGGATAGGCAGAGAGAGCCCCCTCGCCGCCCGCTCGCCCGCCCCCGGGCCCCCCCGCCGTTGGCCATGGGGAAGGAAAGGAAACCAAGGGAGGAAAACCGACCGCAGGGGAGACGCCCACCGAAACGTATGGCGAGTCGACCGGTCCTGCGTTTCGGCTGACGGCTTGGCCACGGTGGCCACGGGAGGAGCGGCCAGGTGCCGATCGCTTCGCCTTCTTTTCCTTATTTCTTTTTGTTTTGGTTTGGTTTTTTTATATATATATATACACACACACGCGCACACACACTCACGTATACATACATATATATATATATATATATAAAAAAATATAAAACTGAGCTATATAGATCTCCCTCTGTCCCTCGGTTCATTTTATTCCACCGCGAAGGGGCCGGGGCCGCACGGCGAAAGGCGACGGTGAGGGGCCCTGGTCCCCCGTGGGCCTTCGTCCCCGCCGCGCCGGGGACCCGAAGGCGGAAAGGCGAGGGGGTTTGGGGACGCGTGGACCAAGACGCTCGCCTCGTCTTGTCGAGGACCGATACACACCTAACTCCATATACAGCATGCAGTAATGGCAGCGGAAGGACCCTGCTGGGAACCGTGGCTAGAACGCTAACAAAAAAAAAAAATTATATATATATGTATATTTATATATACTGTGTATATATATCCCATAAAAAGATTCAGCGTCTCCCTCCGCCTCGACGCGCGGCCAGTGTCGCCCGCGCCCTCAGCAGGAACTGTTCGGACGACCGCTTTTTAGGCCGGTTTTGGGGGGGGGGTCGGCGCAGGATTCCTCCTCCTCCATGCCGACTCGCCGGGTTCGCAAACCTCCTTGGCCAGTCGCCTCCTGGGCTGAGCGGCGCTCGGCGAACCGACTTCTTCTCTCTGCTGGCTCCCCCTCTCTTTTCTGGGTTTTTTTTTTTTTTTTCTCTCCCCCCCTCCCCCCCTCCCTTCTTTTTTGCATTTCTGTTGTTTAGGAACTAAGAGTTCTAGGTTCGTATCAGAAAATACAATAAAATTAACCATGACTCAGAACCCCTTATCATTCATGATGCCCACGGGTGGTACGATGAATGCGTGGCTCGACGCCGGTCTCCTTCCGCCCTTTCCGTTTGTGGCGGTGTGGTAACTGTTGAAGATCTATATATCTATACATATATATATATATATATGTATACATGGATATATATATATATATTCTGAAACACAAATGGCGGCACGGTCCACGAGAAGACGGGGAAATCTCGGCAAAGAAAAAAACCATCGCGTCTGGACGGAGGGGTCCCCACGGGAGGGAGGGAGCAGGCGGGCAGGGGCGGCGAAGGAGACGGGGTGGGGGGGTTATGGTGCGGGAGGGAGGGGTCGGAAGGGCCACGCCCCGACGGCCCCACCCATCCTCCATGGTGACCCGCGGCAGAGAGCGGCGAAAACGGGGGGAAGAAGGGGTGGGAGGCAAAAAAAAATAAAATATGGGGGGAAAAGAAAAAGACTCGGTCGCGTTGCATCTTCAGCAGGAAGCCTGGGATTTTTTTTTTTTTCTTTTCTCTCCTTTCCAAATTCCCGTTGCATTTTTTTTTTTTTTTTTGCGTGTTTTTCCTCTCTCCCCCTCCCCCGGGTGGCCTGGCCGGATACTCTCTCAATTCTTATGATTATTTTCGGAAACGGTGAACACTTCTTCTTCTTCTTTCTCCTCTCCTTTCTGCGTGCGCTTGCCGGCTGTGGTCGTCGCCGCCGCTACTCTGCGGGCCGGCTCTCGGGTCAAAACTGGCGGGCGAGCTGGGCGAGTGGGAGGGCCAGCAGCCACGCGCAGCCGCCTCGCCGCCACGCACCGTTGTTCCCGTCGTGCACTGCGCCGGGACCTGCGGGAAGGGAGAGGAAACGCCCGCGTGGTTAGCCAGAAAGCCCACAAAAAACCAGAAAACACAAAACAAAGACGACAGAACCACAGCATTTGGGTCCCTGCTATTGCACGCGGCGGCATTGCACTGTGCGAGAGCTCCCCGGGCTCGACGGCACGGTGCCGGCCCTGCTCTTTGGGATGCGACCCCCCCCGCCGTCCCGCTACGCCCGCAAGACCCTGTTCCCCAGCACATCCCCTGCTCGTCACCGCCAACCGACCTCCTCCAAGCCCCTTCGCCCCGCTCCAAAATCTGAGTTTCCAGATGCGCTTGCAGGGGAGATGACAGCTTTCGCCCAGCACCACCCACGCTCTGCCAGCCCCAGTGAGCCAGCGCAGGGGCAACCTCCCCATCTTTCCCCGTGGGTCTCCCTCGGGGTGTGTGGGGGGGGTAGGATAACCGGCTGCCCGCCCGGCGCAGACACCGTCGGCAGCATTATGCTCGGCCCTCGGCGCTCCGTTTCCCCCCGCCAGAGCTCGCATGGGGTTTGCCGTTGGTGCTCTGCCCACGGGCCTGGCCCATCTTGGGAAGAACAAGATGGGATGAGGAGGGTGGTCGAGAAAAGCCGAGCTCATCTGCGCCTCCGTGGGTCACAGCGGGTGAGGAGCTCACAGCTCACCATGGGAAAAGGATGCAGAGATTGGCCGACCCGGCAGCTTTCACCACAACGCCCCAAATTGTTGGCCCAGGGGAACGTGAGGCTGGGAAAAGATCTGGGGAAGGCAGCCAGGCTGGCACCCTGCCCGCGAGGTCCCATCGACCCGCGGTTTTGAAACCCCGGGACGTGTCCCCTCGCTTCGAAGCCCGACTGGGGCGCTGAGGGCCGTTAACCATTGGGTCTCCCACCAGTAGCCCTCTTCCAACACACTCACGGATGCCTCGCGATGCTTCCCGCTTAGCCACAAATCCTGGCGTGGCCGGGAAGCCACGCGCGAGGGCGGATCCGGAGATGCGATCATCTCCGCGCTACCTCCGTCGCCCTCCCGACAACCTACCCTACAACGACCCCTACGAGTCATCCTGCGGGCTGACTGCTCAACGCGTCGCTAATGAAGCCGCCCAGCTACGAAACCCCAAAATTGAGATGATGCCAAGCCAGCCGTCCGGTAAGATGGCACGGCAGAGCGCTGGCCACGAGTAACGCTGCCGAGAGGACTGGACGCCTCTCCGCCCCTAATGCATCCCGGAAAAAAGCCAGTAGAAGCATCCCAGAGGAGGAAGGGCCCGCCCCGAGACCCATTTTAAGCAGCAACGCGGGGAAAGCGGACCACAGAGATGTCGCCGCCTTTGCCCTGGCGATGGGGAGGAAGGCGAAGCTGCGACGGGGAGGGAGCGTGGGAGCGGGGCGTGCGGAGGGCACAGACCACCACCAGATGGGCACAGAAGGCTGGCGGGGAGGAGGCGGGATGGGAGGGCAGCCGGACAACGGCGAAAAAGCCCTAATCCATCGCTATAACAGCGGGAGCGGCGGGATCCTGGGGCGGGAAGTCGAGGCGGCGGGTGCCGCGGTTCTCGCCGGGATGGGAGCCGGAGGGGCCCGCGGGGAAACGGGGTGGGGGGAGCACTGGCGTTTGCGGGGGTCCCCGATTTACTGACCTTTCCAGGGTGTCAGAGCGGTAGTTGTCTCTTCTAAAAATTAAAGAACAAGTGAAAGTTAAGGCAAAAGGGCAATGGAAAGAGCAGCCTGCCCTCGACCCAAGGCCGGGAAAAACAAACGGATGGGGCACCGAGCGCGCTGCTGCCGCCCAAATCGCGCCCCGCTCCTCTGGGACCACGGTCCCCTCGTTCAGGAAGAGTGCCGCGTGAGCCAGGCCGCCTGCGGGACCCCAGACCCAGGGGGGGACCCGGCAAAGTCCATGGTCACACCCCGAGCAAAAAACGAAGCGCGGGGGCTGCTGTTCGGGGGATTTTGGGGGCTCAGCTCTCCCCCACGCTCCTCCCGTTCCCCTCCGGCATGGGATTGCCACCCGTTGCTCTCAATAACCCCGCAATGGCCCAAACGCATTTATCGCCCGACGTCAGCCTCTGGGAAGAGATGCGGACCACACGACGGGGGAGAGGTGGAGGGCTTTTCTTTTCCCCAACTCTGCAAAACAATGCTCTGTCACATCACAGACAGTGCCGAATGGGCCGCTGGCCTATAATAACAAGCGCTACACGTTAAATAAAGCACCAGTTGACTTCCCTGAAAAATTAGATTAAAAAAAGGATTCAAAGACGTACACTGTGTCAGCCTCTGTCACACAGTGCCGGAAAGGCTCACATTGCAGTACCCACACGGATCGATTCTCCGTTTGCTGGGGAGGGGAAACTCCGAAATGCTCGCTCGGCTTCGGGGAAAAGGGGATACTTACAAAATTGTCCCCCGGAACCTCACAGGTGAGATGTTTCTTGGGCCACAGGTAGCGCAGCCATCGTACGCGATGTGTTAATGGCCAGACCGAAGGCACCGGTCAATTTGGGACTGGTGAGCTCGGCCCCATGACGCTCGATAGTGGCACGCGGGGCTGACCACGTCGCTGCCGACTGTGGTGCGGAGTGTGTGTGTGTGTGTGTGTGTGGTTCCCGGTGGCATTGGGGACCCCCGCGCCACGAGACGAGGGAGGCCCGCACATCATGGTCCCCTCGGGTCTGTGGGGGGTGAGGGCGGCCTGGGGAACCGTTGCCCCCAAGGAGACTCAATTAATAAAGATGAAAAGGATCGTTAAATGGACGTGGCTTTACGGAAGCAACGGGTGGTCAAAGGACTCCTATTTCATTGCCCAATGGGAGTCACCATCAGACCAACAAAGCTAAGGGGCACGGTAAAATAAGCTTAGAGTTCTGTGGGATGCTGCGCCGCGTCCTGCCCAACGCTGCCGCCACTGCAGCACGAGTTCTACAAAGCATCCTTTGTGCGTTAGAAACCAAATAACTAACAGCTCTGACAAAGCCATCGGCAGAGACAAGTTGTCTTTGCTTTTGGCAGCTTTTCATCCAGTTTGCATCTGCAGATGCCTAACCGAGGTCCCACACTACTTCAGATTTTAACGTCGTAAACCTGTAGGGAATCTATGACATCAAAGCTAAGGATGTCAGGGCGCTAAGCTATGTCGGGCGCTTGGCACAGCCGCCCTAAGGTGGTGGCACAGACGGAGGTGAGCCTGGATGGCTCCGCAGTGCCGGAGGCATCAGTCCCCGTAAAAAAAGGGGTTACTGGGGACACCGATGACCAGGAAGGCTGGCAGGGAAGAGAACTAAGATAGTTCCTAGGTGACGCTAATGACAGCTTAACAGGCAGGTAAAGACGTTAACGTTCATCTCTTACAGCACAGACTTTTTTGGGGGAACAAACGGTTGTTAGGTTCATTAACATCCAAGGTTAGCTCTATATCGGGGCCGGAGGCACGGAGCCGAGCATCTGAGATGGGATGGACTCCGCCGCCACGGCGGCTCGGGGGAACTGATGCTGACAGCAGGTGAGGATGAGTCCCTCCCGTGATGCCACCCCAGTGGTGAGGCTCGGCACGGCCCCGTGGCCGAGAAGGGCAGCCCCCAGGAAAGCCCGGCATCCTCCGCTCTCCCTAGACAAACCGGTTCCCTGGCTCGGGGCTCCCTGGAACTGCATCCAGCCCCTTGCTGAGGATGATGAGAAGCGGACATCGCTTCCCAGGGCCTCGGCACGCCTCCCGTGCCACTCCGCTCCGGCACGCCGAATGACCCGACGCGTAACTTTGGGACTGCCCGCTAGCCCTGCATGCTTTGCGCTGCCGAGAGCGCGGTCTGCTAGCCCCGAGCCGCCCCACCAAGGGGCCTGGGGATGAGGAAGGCTCATCTCTCCCTCTGCTCGCCTCTGACCGTACAACAACGAGAGGCAAGGAGAAGACAAGGCTGAACAGCCGGGTGGCAAAGAGGAGAATGATGTCGGGGGCACATCGTGAGAGGAGGGAGGTCCCCGAGCCCTGCTTCTCCCGTACACTTCGGCAGTGAGGACCGCCTGCCCCGCATCCCCGGCGGGGAAATATCCCCGTGGCAGCAGCCAGGGACAAGGTCTGCCATCCACCTCCAGGTCTTGGTGGCCGTGGCCCCCTGCTCTGGCTCTGCCGCCGCCCGAAAAGGCTCGACAAATGCGTCGAGCGATCGGCGCCCATCCCGGCTGCAACTGGTGTCAGACGGACGTGTCGCTCTCATCCCAGCTCCGGCACACGGAGGAAACAGCCCCCGGAGGAGGGTAGAGAGATGCTCCCCCTCCCCGCCCTCTGCACCCTCCCATCTCCCTCTGGCACCGTCAGGAAGAACGCAGCGGGAGTGGAAAACGCGACCTGGAAGGCGGCGGAGCCATGCGGGCCGCTTACTCTTGGGTGGGCACGGGGGCGTGCCGCGCGGCAGCCCGCGGTGCGGTCCCGCGGGTTTGCCACAAGGACACCAAGCGCCACCTCTCCTCCCGACGTTCGACATGGGAGGACGCCTTCGAACGGAGGCTCTCCTAGGGTTTCGTCGGAGCGAGAGGACAGAAGCCCGCAGCTGAGTCCCAACTTTGCATCGATGGTGGACCCCAAACGCGGTGCCGAACACCTCTCAACAACGGCAGATGCGGGACCCGAGCCTGCAGTTATGCTGGGAGGCTTTCCTCGTTCCCCGGGCTCGCCGCGGCCTCCGACCCACACCCCCGGGGCAGAAAGGATCAGTGGCGAATGCACCTCTCCCCCAAAAGGCAGAAAGAGACCCGTGCCGCGTCTCGCATGTGGGCAGTCTCACCGTCAAGCCGGGCCCCCTCCCTGGCTGGGTCCCTCGGCGCTACTCACCGTAGAGGATCATGCTGGCGTTGGTGTTTCCTAGCTGGTTGGAGGCTACGCAGGTGTAGTTGCCGTAGTCCTGCTCGGAGACGTTGAAGAAAGTCAGTCTGGAGAAGAAGGCTTTGTTCTCCACTTTCAGTCCTTTCTGTCCCTCAGCCAGCCTGGGAGAAAAGCAGAAGGGGAGAGGGTCACGGGGATGGCACTGGGAGGAGAAGCATCCGCCATTTTCCATGATCCGCTATCCCCTGGTCCCACCTGACGGTGGGGATGTCAACCTTGGGGAAAAAACAGGCGTGAAGAGGAAGAAGGGGAGGTAGTGGGAGATATATGGGAGGTGGACGCTGCTCTGCTGGGTCTCGTCCCTCAGCTGCTGGCCTGCATCGTCCTCACGCCATCTGGAGGCGTCCTCACAGATGCGGAGTTGCCACCAACGGGGATGGCTTTGGGACTTGCCAAACGGCGTGCAGAGGGAGGGATGCTCCAAACCGGCACACGTGCCCAGGGAGGCTACCCGAGAAAGGCTCCTTCCCGCGCGAACACCGAAGCCTGAACCGAGCACATCAACTTCCCCAAACTGACTGGTCTCCCCCTCCTGTGGCTCCGCTCCTGCAGCTCTTTTACTGGCTAATTCCTCCTGGGAAGGGCCGGATCACCATCATCACCCCTGCCGGGCTCCGACAGCCAATCCTGCCGCCGCTTCGTGGGCGCTTGTGATCCAGCCTACTTCCGAGCAAAGCCTTTCACCTGCCACCCAAACGTCCCCCGCTTCGTATGCTCCACCTGCTCCTTTCCTCCCAAAACAGGCAAGGCAGGTGGCCCCAGCCTCCCCTCTAGCTGCCATGGTGTCTTTTTCGGCTAAACCGTGCCTCCTTATTAGCGACCTAAGTGGCTCGTCCTGTCTCGGGCTACACCACGGCCCCTCCGGGCCTCCCGGGGAGAAGCAATGCAAAACTAGGTTAAAAAAACTTTGCCCGGGGTCAGAGACAGACATTTGCTCCAGAGTGGGACCCTAGCCTGGGCTGCACCGCTCCCCTCCTCCGTCCCCCAGCCGCATCCCCGTGCCGCTGCTCAGGTGGGACGTGGGAGCTGCCGGTCAACCTAAAAGGGTGACTTTCCCCACCACGCCGGGCAGGCCGTCTCCGCAGCATAGCAAACCCTGTCTCTCGACTGCCACCGCGTTTCTTTTGCCTTTCCAAGAGCGAGGGGCTGACGCTGCCTTCCGGCCAAAGCATTTAAAAAGATGACAGGGGTTTCATCCACCCCCAAGTGCTTGGATTCGCGCTGCCGATATCGCTGTCGGCCGTTACGCTTCACCCAAGCGGGGACTGACCGTGAGACCGTAAACCAGAGGCACGGGCAGCGGCGATCCTGCCTGCGCTGCCTACCCAGATGGAGGCCAAAACCCAGCTGGCGGAAAGACGCTCCTGGAAAAATGCCCCCCTCAACTTCACCTCGTCTGTTTTCTTACCACGCCAAGTTCAATAGGAAGACCTGGCCTGCTTTTAATAGATACCGAGCGGTGGCAGCTCCCGCCGATCGGCACAACCAGCTGCCATCGGAGGGGACCTGCCTTGGTGTCTGAACCCAGCTTGCGTCGAGGGTTATCAGGGATTTGTCTGGCTACCACGGCCCCATTGCCGGGACAGGCCCAGTCAGCCGATTCCAAAGCCGGCGGCACCGGGCACGGCTTCCACAGGGTTGGTGCGTGCCCTCCCATTTTGCATCCCCTCCGCCCCAGGCTCTTACCGCTTGTCGTCTTTGTACCACTGGAAGTCGGCGGAGGGGACGGCAGAGGCTTCGCACAGCAGGATGCCCTTCTGCCCCACCGGCACCCCGGTGCTCTTCGCGTCCGAGATGTATGGTGGGTCTGCGGGGAAGATGGGAGTCTGGGTTTGGCACCTGGCAGCCTTGGGGCGTCCTACCCCCTCCCCTCGCTCCTCAAGCTCCCTTTTCTTTCCCCACACTTAGAAAGGAACCAAAATCGTCTCTGAAGCCATGCCCGGCTCCTGCCGCTCCGGTGCTGCCGTCTGGGGGTTTTTGGGCTCACGGGGGACCCCACGCTGTGGCCCGGCGAGGGCTTCTCTGAGAAGTGGAGACCCCTGGCTCTCGGGCAGCACATGTGCCCCCATGCTAACCCCGAGCAGCTGAAGGGGTGGCTGGAGAGGGGCAGCCAGAGAGGTGTGTAGGAGGGTCTTCACCTCTGTCTCCGAGCACGAAATATGCCACTTTCTTCCTTGCACCCTTTCTTTCTCTCTCTCATTTTTTCTAAAGGAAAAAAAATTCCTATTTACTGCTCACTTCTCTCCCCTCCCCAGAGGCTATCAGCAGAGCGTCTCACCATGAGTGGAAAACCCAGGTGGACGGAGATGGCTGAGGAGGCGGTGGTGCAAAAAAACCACGGAGCTTGAAAAGAAGGGGAAAAAAGGGCAAACCACCACCCACTCAGAAAAACCGCTGCCGCCCGTCTCGCTCCGGGACCCAAAGGCTGGGGTTGCCCCACTTCCCACCGCCAGCGTCCCATCCCCTCGCGGGGCAGCACGGCGACCCTGTCCCCGTCCCCCGACGCCCCCCCGGGCTACTCACAGTTGACGGTGACTTTGACTCGCTGGACGACGGGCGCCGCCACGTCGTTGGAAGCGCTGCACTCATACTCGCCCGACTGCTCCCGCGTGATGCCCGTGATCTCCAAGTACTCGTCCTCACTGATGAAGCCCACGGCTGTAGGGGTGGAGGGAGAGGGCCATGAGTGACCAGGAGGTGCAGCGAACCCATGCCCACCGGTTAGTCAAAATCTGCAACCGTGTCGTGCTGCCCTAGGACGCCCACCCTGCAAGGCCCAGTCTCGACACGCTCACATGCCCGTGCTCCCGAGAAAACCCCTGCCAGAAAGGTGTCCACAAGCACCGGACCTCCACGGCGGCCCCAGCCCCACCGAGAGCATCACTTGCCGGTGATGAGGTCCCCAACGTGCGCGGGGCGGGCGAAGCAGTCCTCGACAAACCTGCGCCCTGCTATGATGACCCAAAATCATCTTTCCTTGGCGTATGCACATCACACCCCACCCTCCTGCCGGGAGGCACCGCTGGGCTCGGCTGGCTCTACGTAGACACCTCTAATTTTTCAGCTTCGATTAACTCACAGCCACTTTATGCCCATTAGCCACGGCGCCAACATCCCCCTTCGGCCGAAATGCTTTGTCCCTGTGCTGCTCCAGGCTCGTTTCTGCATTCCCCACAGTGGGCTGCGCTCGCAGCTCCTGCTTTCGCTCGAAGCCGGGCAGATGCGTTCAGCAGCCTTTCCTTTCATCCAGCATCTTACACCCCCTCCATGTTCCTTCCAAGAGCTCACTTTGCTTCAAAGCGCTCCCGCAAACCCACGGCACTCGGCCGGCAAGGCGCAGGTGTTGGGCCATGATAGTCTCCGGGTTGACGGAGATTGTGGCGTGACAACAAACACGGAGTTAAATAAAGAGATCCAGCTATTAGGACGTGTCCACCGCACGTCCTGGAGAAACGCCGAACAAATGGCGCGAGGGGGTTTTCAACAGGCCCCAGACGGGATGACTTCCCCCTTCCTTTTGTTTACGTCTCCCCGTCAGATCTCCTGCAGCTGAGATGCTGTAATTACCGTGCAAAGCATCTCGGAGACCGGTGTCACGCTTAATATTCCTATAAATTTTAAACGGTAGTCCTCGGTACATATGTGTGGCAATCGGTGTCATATTTTAATTAGGCTTGCCCTACACCATCTGAAATTAATAATAGCTCGAATTACCAGTGTAATTTATAAATTAACATCGCTGCAGCATTAGGAAATAAATTAGCTCTGGACAGCTGTTTCTGGGAGCGAGTGCCAACGGCGGAGAGGCCGAGCGCAGGTCCCCGGTCCCCGGGGAACGCGGCAAGCTCGGCCAGCGGAGCCGGGTGATCCCACGCTTGCCCTCGCTCCCCGACTGGCTACCGCCGTCTCCGCGCTAGCGTGACCCGATGGGTCACGGCTCACCGCGCTCGACCGGCCGACCGTCTGCGTCTTCGCTCCTAACAAAACGCGGGCAAAACGTACGCGCGGGAGGCTCCCGTCGGGGCGCGCGCCGCCCGCGTCCCGCCGGCTGATACTTTTATAGCGTCTCTCCCCGCAGTACATAAATAACGAGCGCGGTCACGCGCTACCGCCCGCCAAGGCGGCCATCTGGAAAGCACGCGTACGTGGGGGTTTGCGGATGGGGTCCCGAGCCGGTTTCCATAACGCCCCTGCACGGCTCGACACGGCGAGCTCCTGCGGCGAGCGCTCCGGGCATCCGCTGGGATCCTGCTGCTGGGATGCCGGGTGCCGCCGCTGTCGGCTCAAGCTAAGTGCAAATACGCTCCGCCGCAACGAAACCGCGCCTTGGCTCTCCCCCGTGACAGACCTCGTGGCGGCCACCTCTCCACGGCAGCCCTGGGACTTGGCATGTCCGCGGCTCCCTCGCACATCCGCACGCTCGGCAGCCGAACCGAGGACCCCGCGGACGCATCCCGCCGTCCCGGGTGGGTCTAACTGGGAAGGCGGCCCCGCGCCGCCCTGTGAGATTTCGGAAAGGGGCGAAGCGAGTTTTCCAGCGCAACCTGCCGGGACAAATTGCTGCCACCCACCTGCGTGCCCTCGGCCCCGCGCTGAAATGCCCTCCCAAGCAGCTCACGGTCCAAACGGCCGAGCACATCAGTACTTAGCAGAACCGAAGGGCAAGATACGAAGGCATTACCCCAAAATCAATATCCTTCGGAGACACAAAAATTGCAGCGTTACATCCACCAGGCGCTGCAAAAAACCAGGAGCGAGGGGGGAAGACAAAAAAATCCCTTTCACGGCTGACCTAGAATCGGCTTCTCTGTAGCACAGCGCTGCCTGCCGATAAAATAACGACACGACCGGCGGCCTTCGGATGCTCTGTGCACAAATCTGACTCGGGTTCGTGCAGAGCCTCCGATAACGTGCCGCTTCCCAACCAACCAAAGGCGGTTCCTTGAGCGCGCCGGAGCTGGCTCACACGCGGCAATAACGAGCCTTAGCAGGCGTCCCTGGTCCGACCTGCAAGCGAAGCGGTGTTTTCGAGCGCGTTTCGTTACCCAGCAAAAGGCTTCATTAAAGTAATTGCAAGGGGCGGCTTTCCACCCGCAAAAGGTCAGGAAATTGGGAAACGAAGGAAGCCTTCATAGCGCGGAAGTCTGATACGCGCACGTGGTAATTTGCTGACAGAAAGGCAGAGTGCGAAGAGGTCAGGGTGTTGGGGTCCGGAGCCCTTCATGGCGGCGCCTGTGGGATTTCGGCTACAGCCCGTCGACCCCAACGTGCGGAGCCCGTCCTGGACCAAAATGGGAGGCTTTGGGCCAGAGCTGACACCCGCTTTTGCCCTGAGCACAATCTGGTGTTGTTCGTGCTCCGATGACGATGGCATTAGGAAGACCCTCCCTGCTAGAGGCTCCGGCCGGATCCTGCTTCCTTAGCGCCAGCTGTGGCATCTCAAGGAATAAGGCGACACGAGGGATCGCTGCCCCAAGGGCACCGCTTCACGGGACATCCGCCGTGTCCCCCCCGTCCCCTCCCGCACAAGGGGCTTCACAGGAAAATCGGGTCCGTAAAGCTGCTTCACCGCTGCCGGATCCCATGCTGGCCGAGGGGCAGACCGAGCGTAGCCGGCCAACCGCTCAGCTCCCTGGCCTCTGCATTTTTGCCTATTTATAATGGGAAGTCTTTTTGATAGTTGGACAAATCCCATTCATTAGTGACTGCCAGGAACGAGAAACCGAATAGACGGGACCCAGGGAGCGGGGCCAGGGTTAAGCAAACACAATCCCGAAGCGCAGACCTTGCTTTATAGAAAGCAACGGGGTGTCCATGTCACCGCGGCTGCTGGGGTCCCTCGGGGCTGGTGGGGCTCAGGAGGGACATTTATCTGCTCACCGGGTTGCACGGGGACACAGATGTTGCTTTGGGGGACCCTCAGCTCCCCTGACCTAGAAACAACGCAAGCCCCAGCCCAGATTTCGAATGGGCATTACTTTTCCAATCACTCTCACGTATATCGGGCCCTTTGGGATTGCTCCCACCGCTCGCTGGAGCTGGGCAACGGGCACCCAAATACCGTGGTCCCTACCTCCGAGAGCGCCTGGAGCTCGGGGATGCTCGAGGTAGTGCTGGCCTGGGGCCCCGCAGCTCTGGGAGCTCCACCGTTGGTACCGGTCCCGCTCCGCCCAAATCGACGGTGGGAACTCTTCGAGGCTGTCTCTGCTTGAGCACAATTAGGAGCTGAAATATTGCAGGAATTAACGGGAGAGCTCTCTCATCTCCTCAGGAGCTAGAAAACTGCCACAGCCAGCACCCATCATCATTATTATTAATACTAAGAGCGTAATACAGGCCAGAAATGGAACGGCCACGGACTAGGCAAAAGCGTACTCCTCGCTCATCAGCCGAGGATGACAAACTATCCTGGCGCAAACCGGGGAGATGGAAAACCCGAGCCTGAATCCACCTGCTCGGCGAGTGGGAGCCTGTGCGCAGACCGCCACGTGCTCCATAGGACTTGCTCTGCCAGACCTGCATCTCTGCAGATCTCTGTAAAAAACCTCAGGGAAGGGGAAGCACGAGCACAATGGAGCAAGGGGGAAAACTCAGCCTGCAGCTGCAAAATAGCCAAGAGAGACTCGACACATAACGAATGGCCCACGTCATGAACAGAGCCGGGGAGCTCGGCAGCATTCGGTGTGGCATTCGGGAGCCTCCAGCCAGAGACAGCCGAGTGCCACGGCAGTGAGCAGCCCGAAATACAGAGGTAGAAATAACCGAACCACGTCTCTCACGTGGTGCAGATAAGCCACTGCAGGTATGTTAGAGAGACCGCTGTCACCTCATGCATCCCTCCTTGCCTTTCTCCATCCCTCACTTCTCTTCCTTTTCCCAGCCCGACTCGTCTCCCTTCCGCTTCCTCCTACCCGTTTGCTTCCATCGAGCCTCTGACAACATAACAACTCACCAGAAAGTGAACACGAGTTCCCAAATTAATTACGTGCTGCTGTCCCCTGGCTTGCCGTTGCGGCCACGCTCAGGTCTCGAGGACGCGTGGCTTATGGCTTTCCCTGGCTGAACACTGCGTGCCCGCCAGGCTGTTAAAAAAGCTTCGCTGAACAGCGAGCAAGGTGGGTCCCAGCACCACCAGCTCTCCACCGCAGCATCCCGCAGACCCTACCAATGCCTCGCTGCGGCTCCTACCAGCAACCTGTGGTGCCCTGAGCGAGGCAGGCAGCACAGCTACCGTTATCGCTGCTGCGCACCACGCTAGCTCCTAAAGATCACGACCCTGGTGAAGTTTTCCCCACTCTGCGTGTCGCCTGCAGGCATCACGAGCACCCGCCGCGGACACCGTCGTCTCCTGTGAGAAACAGCCGCAAAGGGTCCAGAGCCACATTGCCCCGATTTCTGGAAGGCAAAGCATGGGAAAACAGACAGATGTACGTACAAGGCGGTGCGGGGATGACACGGACAAGACATCTCCGCGGCTTGGGGAGCCACGCGACGTATCGCGCCAACCGGGGCAGCGCGGCATGCAGCGCCCGGCACCAACGGTGCATCTTTCACGCTGCCGTGTGCCCGTACCAACTCCCTGCGCCTCGGCGATCGAGGCGAGCCAGCCCAGCCGCCCAGGGCTGCGATATTTCCGCCCCTAAAGCTCAAAGGCGCGA